GCTTGGAGCGAATCCGATTACTGCCGATAACTTCTCAGGACATATCAATAGGTGAATAGTTTAGAAAAAAGCAGAGTAGTCATTTCTGCCTTTATTTAGCCTAATAACTTTATTTCAAGATTTCAAGATTGTCACTCGCTGTTTTGAAGCTTTGATGGAACTGGTACGAAGTACACAAACATGTGCATATTAATTAGGAGGAACGCAAGGCTTCGAATAATGAACTAGAGGGAAGGGGTGTGTAAATGTAATTATATATCTTGACTCTGTTACAAATCTTTAATCGTTTTTGTAATCATATTCGTTTATTTTGATTGTGATTAGCCTTATTATTCATCGAATGAATAGATTGGTTTTAAACAAAAATACTGCTGGATCTTTAAAGGSACATTGTCAATGGCGCGCATGCGCGAGTAAACTCGAAAACACTAGGCTAGTGTTTTCAAGTTTATGACTCCAAGTTGGCGYGACATAAATCAGCTCGTAAACGTAAGCTTTGTGGGGTAGATCCGATTTTGCTCTAGTAGATGCTTCATTGTCAGTTTCATTTTTATTACGTTTTAATAGTTAAAGTACTTCAACAGCGACTTCTATGCCGCTGTATCGCCCTAGGTAGCAAGTATCAAAGGTTCCAGACTCCAACAGATACTTGTCCTCTACCAGATAAATTTTAATTGAAAAATAAAGACTTAGACGTATAATAAGAGAGTTTTATGTTTGTTTTGTAATTCAGAACAATCAAATTAATGTTTTCTTTTCACCTTAAGGCCGTTTTGGTGTACAAATTCACTCTTCACTACAGTGYTGTTTAGTTTGTTACTCTTCACTTTTTTTGGTCAATAGGCATTTATCAGGAAATTATTGTGCAAACAATAATTTAAGGACATATTCCATAATTAGTATTRTCGGTTTTCGTTTACCTGCTAAAGGTCTCCAATCCAAGTTCATATTAAGAGMCACTTCGCTCAAAAATCAGACATATAGTGGCTCGAAAACTCTATTCATATTTTGTATATAGATAGGGTATAGATAGGGTATGACAATC